TTAAGAATCCCTATAGCAATCACTAAGAAAATAATTTTTTTAAATGAAAAAGATCATTATATTAAAATAGTACATTAGAAATATCCATTTAGGGCAAAATTATTCAGTTAGTGTAAAGGAAGAATAGAGGAGCAAAAAAGACATAAGACATGGGAAAACAAGCAGTGTGGCTGATGTAATCCTCTATCAATAAAAACATTAAATGTGAATGAATTAAAACAATCAAAAGACAGTTATCAGACTAGATGAAAAAAAGCTGACTATATGCTGCCACTGTATGTGTTTAAAGGAGACACACCTCATATGAAAAGATACAAATAGATTGAAATAAAAGGATGGAGAAGGATATATCATTAAAGAGCAACTGTAGGAAAGCTGGGGTGACTATACTAATATCAGACAAAGTAAACATGAATGCAAAAAATATGACTACAGACAAAAAGGGATATTTTATGATGATAATAAGATCAGTCAGAAAGATAACACTTATAAACATATACAGACCTAAAAAAACAAAGTTCCAAAACATATGAAGCAAAAACTGGCAAAGGGAGAAACAGAAATTCAATAATACCCCACTTGTAATAATGGAGGGAATATCCGGGCAGAAGATCAGCAAGGACACAGAAGGCTGACAGGTATAAACAGATTAGACCCAGTGGGTATCTATAGAGCATCCACCCAAGGACAGCATAATATATATTATTTTCAAGTGCACATGGAACATTCTTCAGGATAGACCATATCCTAGGTTATAAAACAAGCCTCAGCAAATTTAAGAGGATTGAAATAACACAAAATATGTTTTTCAAATACAAATGCAATTTAAAACTAGTAACATAAATTTGTCAAGCTCACAAACATACTCCTAAAAAACCAATAGGTCAAAGAGAAATTATCAAGGGAAATTAGAAAATATTTGAAATGGCTGAATATGAATACACATTCTATTGCATAACATTCCATCCCATTCCATTTCATGACATTCCATTCCATTCGTTAATGTTCCATTCTCTTTCCCCAAAATTCCATTCTGTTCCATACCCAAAATTATGGGATAAAGCCAGTGCCCTATTTGGTGAGACATTTATAGTGTAAACGCCTACATTAAACAGTAAGAAAATCACAAGTAGCCTAACTTGCCACCTTAGGACACTAGAAAAAAAAGAGCAAACTAAATTCAAAGCAAAAACAAAAAGGATCTAATATAGTCTGGGGCAGGAACTTACAAGTGAATAGAAAAACAATAGAGAAAATAAAAGAAACTGCTGATAGAAAGCAAGTGAAACCAAAACTATTTCCAAGTAAGATCAACAAAATGAGAAAACCTTACCTAAATTGACCAGCAAAAAAGAAGACTCAAATTGCCAAATTAAGAATGAAAAAGAGTGACATTACTAAGACCTTATAGTAATAAAAGGATTGTAAACAAATACTGTGAATGACTGTATGCTAATAAGTAAGATGATTTAAATGGAGTTTTCTCCATTTAACACATTTCTAGGACATGAACTACTGAAACAAACTCAAGAAGAAATAAACAAAATCTGTTAAAGATATTTAACTAGCAAAAAAAAAAATGAAACAAAATAAACAACTGCCGGCAGGCAAAATTCCAGGTCCAGATATCTTTGCTGTGAATTCTACCAAACATTTAAACAAGAAACAAGATTAGCATTTCACAAGCTCTTCCAGAAGTAGAAGCACTTCTGAGCTCATTCTATGAGGCCAGTGTGCCCCTGGTGCCCAAACCAGACAGAACCATCAAGAAAACTATGACTTTGATATTGCCCAATATAACTGTTTAGGTATTAATACCCAGCTATTACCAGATACTCCAAATTATCAATGGTTAATGAAAGCAAAATATTTGCAACTCTAAAAGGCTAGAAGTAAAATACAACAGAATTTAAACCAGTCTACATAAAGGCAGCAACTGTCTGTAAGAAAAATATATGCATATTAGAAAAATGAAATACTGAGGAAGACCTTTGGCCTTAAGTATATCTTACCTGAAATCCAACCAGAAAGCCAGTTTGTGATTTTTGTTTTTGAAACACATTGTACTGAAAATAAATTATAAATGCTTGTTTAATTCAGTGTCAAAAATGGCACTTTTGGGCTAAAACTACAAAATAGACAGGCTTTCTGAAAACACTTAGGAAACCATTTCAGATCATTTTCAAAATGTCTAGTGCATATGCTGATCTTCAGAAAAACTAGTCTGTATAGAAATTTATCTTAAAATATGAAGGAGGAAAGTGGTTTTTTAAAAGGGCATATATATAGGAGATACACACACACATCGGAGTAAGTTTGCTTAGTTAGGTATCAGACTGGCATAAGGGCCTATACAGGATAATAAAACCATAAAGTTGGGTTTATCTTCTTTACCAGACAGAAATTATTTGAGTAAGACAATAATTAATTGACTGTCATTGTTTTTAATATCTAACTTTATAGTCTCAGTTTAATTAGTAGTACCAAGAATGTTTCCACTAAAGATTCAGGACTTGTAAATGGCTTTGTTAAATAGTGTTCTAATATCATGTAAAAATGCTTGCAGTCATTCTTTTATCTTGCTATTTAATGTTTTTCTTTATGCTTCTTTATTATCTACTGCTATTCATGGATATCCAGCTTCATCTAAGAAATGAGGTGGTCAGAAGCATGCATTCGTTAATACTAATCACACACATACCACACAAAATATTTATGTATAAGTGATAAATGGCCATGCAGAGTTTTGAAGTGAATGCTGTCTTCCTTTGTGGTGAGAGAATTATAATTGAAATTATTTAGAAGTACAGTGTGCCTGTTGTCAAGGTATTGCTGCTCAGCCTTCACATCACCCTTCTTCATCCTGCCCTGTTAGACTGCAGCCGGACCCCATAAACTATTCTCCTTTATCAGTGAGCATGACAGCATTATGGTGGAAGGCCCTGGAAGGGTACTGCAGGAGAAAGGGTCTTGTCTTCCTGCATCTGTGGTTTTTCCCTTCTGCCCCAGTGAGATGCAGCTGAGCTGCCGTTGGCAGATGGGTCACTCAGTAGTGTGTGTTCCAGGGTGGCTTCTAACAGGTTTTGCCAGCACCTCAAGGCAGCTGTCTAGTGAGATTCATTCTCATCCTGGAGGTGGATTCCCAGCGAGTGTCAGCCTCACCCACGTCCTCCCCAGCTGGCGGTTTCCTAGTGAGTGTTGTGGAATTCCCTTGGGAGGCTTCTGCTTGCTAGGCCTGTGTCCAGCATCTCATCACAATTCTGTCACCTCGTGACATACTCTCTGCAGCCATTTCCGAGTATCAGCCTTAGTGTGGTGCTCTGGTGAGACTCTAAGATTGGGTATTCTCTTTCAGATCTAGACGTGATGGCTGCCACATATATCTGCTGTTCCTATGGTCTTTAGATTCTCTTTACCCTCCCTGTTAATTAATTCCCTTTTATAAATCAGTAATCAGTTTTCCCTGGTCAAAGGACTGGTTTGGTTGCTATCTCCTAACTGGAACCTGACTGGTGACAGATAAAATTTTATTAGACTTTTACCTAAATGAAGAAAGAAAAGATGTAATTTTCCACATCAGAATATAAAATGCTTCTTCATTTTTATATAAATCTCTCCCACATTTACATAAATATTTAATTTTTCTCAATATTTAGTTAATGGTATGCCTCATTCACGTAATCTCATTTTTAAAAAAGAGGTCATTTTTTTCTGAAAATTTAAAAAGATTCACAATTAATTGCATATTTTATTGTGAGTGGTGCTTATTATTTTCCCACTAAAGTTTCTTATTCCCCAAGGAGAAAGGGCTAAGAGCCAGAGGGAATCTTTTGAGTCTGAAGGTACTTGCTATAATATTTAGTATTTTATTTTGAGATCTTCCGTCTACTACACAATAGAGTCTGTTCTGTTTTAATATTTAAAAGTATTTTAAAACTTAATCTACCATTAAGTTATTTAATGTTTCCCTTAAAATTCCTAAAACAAAACTTGAGCTCCAGGAAGATGTACATATTTAGCAGTGATTTTTAACTGTAGCTTTTTCTACCTCCTTGTATATTGCCACATTCACCTGGAAGTATGTGTTCCCTAGTATAACATGTAATGGATATATTGTCAAGGAGTCTTAACACAGTCTCAGGTTGGCTCTGTTCAGTTTTCTCGGCCTCACCACCTGCCTCTTAGGCTTAAAAAAGCAGCTTTTAGAGGCAATATGTTAACTGGAGGAAATTCAGTTGGGGTATATGCAATTTTTGTAACTCTTATGGGCATGACTCTTTCTGGATACCAGACAAACTGCTGGCTGAAATCTTACGTAGATGGTATCAGAAAGGCTAATCAGTTGTTCTAGAAGCCAAACTGGATCAGGTGAAGTTTGGGTAGTTTATGAGCTCTGCTGTTTCTATTCCTATGGGATAACTAGATATTTAAACAAATCTCTCCTTGATTGTCATTTGCTGGTTGCCTCTCAGCCCTGCAATATGGACATCTCACTACTGTTGTTTCCATCTCTCTAGGTGTGTACCTATAACCATTGCCTGTGGACATTCTTGCTTTCCACGATTTGTGATGTAGCTTTCTAATTTTCATTCTTTTCTTTTGTTTTTAATCCTGTCTCACCACTCCCCCTCCAAAAGACCAGAACAATTTATTTTATAGTCAAGAAAATCTTTTAAAAATCTACTCCTACCATTCTTTGATTTTTCCCAAAGTTTTAGGATTTTGGAGGAAACAGCTAGATAACAGAAATATCTGTAGCTACCTTTGTTTTTCTATCTTGCCATAACCCTCCTTTAAGACAAGAAATAGAGACTTAATTTTCAGTTTGCAATGTCAGAAAGGAAAAGGGAAGATATTAGGGGGAAAATAACCAATTTTATTACTAAATTATATCCCACTATAGGTTGGCATTTCAGGTATTATTTCTGTGTTTCCAGTTGGGCTGCAAACTTCATAACAGGAGGCAGAATGCAAAATAAAAGTTTCTTTTCTTTTTATTATTTCATTGAAATTACCTAAGGTAACCTTTCTAATTTCTGGGGAATATGTGCCCACTTTTAACAACTCATTGGTTCTGAAAGATTATTTTAAAAACAACGGGACTTAATCCAATATTGGGAAACTTAAAGACTGATTTCCATGGAAATATCTGGTGGTCAGCACATGCTATCCGGCACACTGGTATCATACAATTTTTACCTTGTTTCCATTGTGATTTTACTTAGAAGCATCTCATGTAATACTGTTTGAGATAGTTGCTGTGTAATTGAAAATGGAGCCACTTAGGCATTTTAAATGCTATAGAACTTTAATTTGTGGTTTGTGAAATAGTGCTTGTAATGATCATTAATGCTTTATAACTTGAGGAGAAATCACAAAGTAGAAACTGCAAGATTCAGTCAAAAATAATTAAAGACCTCCAGCTAGTCTCATCTAATGGAGCTAAAAGTTGTAAAGGAATCCCATTGCCAAAAGAAATATTCTGCAAAATAATAAATTGACCAAATATTTCCATTTTACAGATTGTATCATGAATTGACCAAGTTAACCTTATATTATATATATTTTAATATATTTTCCTAGCTTTTGAACTACATTATTACTTTACCATTTCCTGCATCTTGGAACATATTGCTTTGATAATTCTACAAATTTCTCAGTCTTGTGATTCTTTAAACAAATCATATGTAGTCAAGTAAGTAAAAAAGTGATGCTGTTAGTGAGGTGCTTTATTCTAAAATTTGTGCCACTCAAGACAAAATGCAAAAAAACTTGTCAGGAAATAAAGGCTTGCTCAAGAGCTGGCTACACTAGACTCTTATGTCCACCTGTCATATCTACCCATCTGAAAATGACATAGACTTATCACGGTGTAACTAGATTCAAACTTTTGTTCTAACTTGGATAATTTCTATCACCAGAAAAGAAAAATATATAGACAACATACTCCTTGAGAGACAAATTTTATCACTGATAAGGGATTGTGAAAGACAGAGTCATTTGAATGAGTTGAATATTTTCCAGTGATGAAAATACAAAGTGCAATAAATAACTCATTCACCTCATTCAGATTTCCTCCAGACTGTTTGTTTGAAGTGCTATGTCTGCCTTTAGGCGGTATGAAAATGAGCATGTATCAAGTATGTAAATACTTCAGTAACTGTCCTTCATTTCAGTATCAAACAACTGTTTCCTAACTATATATATTTAAAGATGTTTTGAAAGCCTTTTTTTTTGAGACTGAGAAAAGTTGAAATAAATGTTAAAATCACATTTCAGTGACATTCAAGAGTAACTGTGGAAGTTCTTCCTTCTAGGAGAAAAAAAATAAAAAGCACTTTCAGAATTTCATACACACTGATGTTACTATAGCATCTGAATACAAATTTCTGTTAAAACAAAATACGGCTTTGTATAACTATTTTAGCTAAAGTTTAGGAGTTCTTAAGAAATATGAAAGATATCACAAAAACAGGTCAGAAAAACTATGCATGAATATGTGGATTTTGATATTGAGAATCACTAAGATCCAATCTTCTAATAAATTATTTTGATACCGGTTAGAAAAAATGTACCATGTAAACATTTGAATTATAGGCTAGGAAAGCCTTCATTAAGCTGTAGGTAAGCAGATTAGAATTTATCCATTATTTTTAAGGGAAGAATTTTGTTCATTTTAAACTTCCAATGTTGACTTAATTCTACACATAAACGGGACATAAAATACAATGTGTTTGCCTATTATAGCTCAATAAATATGGGGTGGGGGGGACACTAAAAATACTATTCATTTAAAAATTTCCAGAGGACATCACTTCTCTGGCCAATGCAGGTGAGCAGAGATGGAGCCGCTCTGAGAAGAGCACACCCTTGGGCCGTCGTCTGCTTTCTGTGGCCGTGGTGCTCCACGCACACTGTGTCCTACCACAAAGAGCTGCCTCCGAGTGCTGGCCAGGCCAGCTGCCTTATGCTTTGTCAACTCTGTATTATAAAAGTAATACAGAAAAAGTCTCCCTGGCTGGGATAGCCCTTGGTCGAACAAGTTTCCCTCTACTTACCTTTCTGAAGTGCCCCGTGCCCTTGAAGCACCCAGGGCCTCATTTGCTGGCCTAGTTGCCCAGCCATTCTTCCACTCCGTTTCCTTCCCAGACTTTTCATCCTAAAAAACCTCTTTGTCTTTGGCTTTGAGTGTCTTCCTGGGTAGCTGAGTGTTTAACAGAGAAATCAATAAACAGTGGTGACTGTTCTTGTCAACTCTCCATTTTGAAAGCATTTTAAATTCTGGCTTTCAAAGTCTAAATAGATAGGTGATGTGGAAGATTACCAACACTGGTCAGCAAAACAAAGGACAAAGCTTTGGGGGCTGGAGAACCGTTTCGGGCACTTGTCCTGTTCCACTGCCTATCTGCTCAGGCCTGCATGGACTACACAAGGCCTCACACAGGCAAATGCTTGCAAAGTCTTTTGTTAGAAGATTAAGGGTCATAAAACAGCAAAGAGGGAAATCATTTTCTTATCCATAGGAAGATGCTCACCTTTTCCTACATATCTATTACTTGTATGTACTTAGTATGCATTCAGATTAAGCAAATTTGTATAGAGGACCTAGGAGACCTAGGATATACCTGGCTTTGTTCGGGCACTTTGATATTTTTATATTATGCCTAAAGAAAATACACTTTAAGTTTTTACCTTATCCTGGGGGGACAGCAGATCTAGGGGTTCAAAGGCATTAGGCACCTGTGTGGGGAAGGACAGGGCAGGTATGGTGGAATAATGAGGAAGGAGGCATAAGAATTGATAAAGAAGACATTTAGGTATCATATAATTTTACTTCTAAACTTCAACTGCTCTATAAACCTTAGGTTAGAAAATGAGCAGAGTTGCTTAAAAATTGGAAACTTACTTTCTTATTTTTTCCTAAATTTTAACCTCTGTGTCATTTAGCACTTAATATCTCTACATTAGTTGGCTACTAAATGGATACATTGCTTTTATTAGCTTATTAGCGCTGTAATCTTTTTGTCTCTTCAAAAGCATACCTCCTCATTTTGTTATTACCTGTTATCACTGCCCTCCAGAAAAACTGGCACCTACAGGATCACCAAATGAATTCATAATGCATGAAGCTATTAGAGAAGTTAGGAAGTTAATAATATTGATTGCAAAAGGTGTTACCTCTAAGAAGCATTTGTTTGAGGAGATTGTCAAATCACTTATTCATTTATTTCAAGTTCATGGACTGCTTTATTTAATACACCATAGCAGAGAAAAAATGAACTGTTAAGTAAAATCAGTTACGTAAAGAAGCTCTTACCTTCTGCCGGGTGAAATGATTTTTAGAATGCAGATGACACTTCGGATCATTCCTACTTAAGGTAGTTGATGTCCTGTGCATTTGATGATAATCTAAGTGATTTCACTACTGACAGAGAAGCCTGGAGTTACAGGGAGCATGCCATGTGTACAGTCTGTAGGCTCACTTGTGTGGTGGCGCATATCCAGAATGCGCAGAACCATATCTGTGAAAGGGAAAAATCTTTGAAGCTCCCTAGAAGAGAAAAAGCACGGAGTGTGTTCAGGAAATGGACACAGAGAGGAGAAATAAATTAAAAAAACAACGTATGTTAAATTATTTTTATCAAGATTAAAAATCATAAGAAATATTACTTTATTTACTCCTGATAAATTATACTCCCTTGATTTTGACTTGTATTTATTTCGTGATTGATTAATTTTCATATTTTTAAGATTGAAATCTAACTCATGGTTCAAAATAATCTCAATTCATAAAGTATATATATAGCACTCAAGTGCCAAGCACAAAAGAAGCAATTATTTTAGCTATTATTCATAACATGAAACAAATATTCATAGAATTTTGGGCTAATGGCATATCTAAATAGGAAGGTTCACATTTTTTTAAAGCTTTCAATATTTTGTTATATTTAGGGCAGTCCTATCAACTTGCATATTGCCCTTTGAGCTATATATATATTTAATTCACTTGCCTTTTTAATGAATATGCCTTCCTGCCCAAATCACATAGTGAATCCCCTGAAGGCAAAAAGGTGTGCTTTATTTCCATTTCTGAACTCAGTATCTGCTTTACAACCCACTTAGCATTATCATTAACATTTGGCTGAATGCAGTCCCTCTAAATAACGGGAAATCGAGAAGGAGTAGACCCTAAAGTATATGCTGTCATTTAAAAATAATGATGTGAAATTGGATATATAACTTGAATCATCGAGGCATAACATACTAATCACAAGACTTAATCACTTTTTTATTTCCTTCTGTTTGGGCTGTTCTGCAGAGTGTCTTCTAGACCTTCAGAATCTTTTGAAAATTTACATTGTGCTTTCAGATAGATTGGAGTCTTAGTTGCAAGTAACAGAATACTTTAAATAGAAAAAGTATTTGTTGAAAGTCTGTTATATACCTCACAGAAGTGGCATGCCTAATGTATTTGATATTTCCTCTATAATATGACACAATCATTTTCAATAACTGTGAAATGAAATAAATAATAATTATGGCCAGGAAAAAAAATGCGGACAGTGAAAATTTCTTTTACTGACTTTTCAATATATAATAAAGCCAGTGAATATTTTTTAAATCATAATTAAAAATTAAATATATATCACAGTATAAAAAAGGAAAAATATGATAGATGCTTTTTAATAAGCTAATACATTTCTTTAAAAACTCAAAGTTTTATTCTGTCATAATAATGGATAATAACATTACAGTTTCTGTCGTTAAACTTAACTCTGGAAAATTTGTCAGGGACTTCAGAAAAATGAATTTTCTTTCACATTCATGTTCAGTAAGTGGTATGTCTGATTTGCCAATACATTTTTATAACTGGAAAAACATTTCTTATTTTAAGTTTGAAATATTCACATCAGGCAACAGAAATATAAATAATATGTATGAACAGTATGTATATTTTTGTATGAAGTTGTAGAGTCTTGGCACCTGAATAGATTTTTTTTTTTTACCTCTGACAGAGAAACCACAAATTGTAGAACTTTATACAGAAAAATCAAGTTGTGGTTCATGGACTTAACAAGACTTATGCAAGTAAACTTTCATATTTAAATAAAATACAGTGTTCATAAACCTTTCTTAAGAGATTTTTCTGTTATATTTTTGTTAGTTGAAACAAAAAGATTTTACTATGTCCATTACCAAATAGTAACAATAGTTTGTAGTTTAATCTGACACTGAGATCAGAAAGAGCAGGGTTCAGATCCTTCTCTTTTGTTACATCCCATCATTGTTGTATAATCAAGGACAAATCACTTAATTTCAGTGAGCCTCGGTTTCCTCCCCTGCAAAATCAGTTTCAGGACTGACTGAGCCTCATCTAAAGTACTTAGCACAGTATCAGTATGATATGTAGGTGATGTTAAGTAAGTAACAGTTGTGCCTGCTTGCTTTTCTGGTTTGTGCGCTTAATTTTGCTCATGAAGAACAAAATATGAGAAATGTTTGCTTCTCCTGAGCATCTTCATACTGAACAGTTAACACATTGAAAGGAGAACTCAAGTGACTGCAGTGATGCCTGTTTACACACACACGCACACACACGGCTTCGGGTACCCGGGTGCTGACTATCTCTGCCCCAAGGACGCGGCCAGACCGGCACCTCTGTAGCCTCTCAGTGCTGTGCGTGGAGCCACTAGTGTCCCTGGAGAACTGGTTACACCAATCCCAAACAAGCAACATTTTTAGGCTCTAGATATGTTACAGATGCCTTTATATTATTATCAGACAAAAATTATATATGCAACAAACAATCGATCGTACCTTGAAAGATTTGGTTGGCTGTTTGGATGGTGACAAGAATGAAATAGCTGGCCAGAGGAAAGATATTTTCAGTTATAACTAACATCTACTTCAAGGGGAATAATTTTATTTTATTCTTCCTTTTTGAAATGTTGGCCTCCTAAAGAAAGACAGAGTGAATATAACCATAATTTTGGAAGTTTAAAAAAGCCCACACCAACTGTCCAATGTGGTTCAGAGTATTTTCTCTAGGATATCAACAATATGCTTGTTCCAACATTCTAGTCTCATTAAACGTTAAAAATAAAACCTGTATAGTGTTTTTTAACTACCTGGTTTTAACTGATATGGAAAGGTACAAAGTTACCTCTTTCCATTTATCTTTTTTTTTAATTCAGTCAATTTACACTTGTTCAGATAAAATAATTCCCACAAGAAACTTTCCTTGGTGAGTTGCTAAACACACAGAAGGACAAATGACTAAATTAATAATGCATGTCAAAAAGTATCAAACAAAAAATGTCGCTTCCATCTCTAATCTTTGCATATGTATCTAAACAGGTACATATTTAGCAGTAAACAAACTACACAACAGAGTATCAGCTTTTAGAAAAGATTCTTGTTTGGATTCTTCAAGTTTTCTCTAAGGCTCCTGGCCAATGGTTTATGCCAGATAGTGTTTTGTTAACACTCCTGAACTTGTTCTACCAATAATGAACAATATTGGAATGTTAGAAATACTGTCCTTATCTTGGTCAACTCTTTTTCCTGATAAAATCTCAGAAACACATTGAGCAACAGGGGAAGCGTGTAATGACATGGGGCTAAACTATGAGACTCCAAAGTAAAATTTAATGAACAGAAGTTAATGTGAATGAATTGAGCAACGGGATCTTTCAGCCAGAGCTCTCGCCCGTGGTTTCCCCGGGGGACTGGACTTCGTGGCCTGGCAGCGTCAGGGAAGTCCTTCCTGGCGGCTCACGGCTCCAAGCTCGGTGCTCCAGAGAGCAAGCAGCAGCTCTTACGACCCCAGTTTGGAAGCCACACGGGGTCACTTCTGCTGTATTCTGTTGGTTCTGTTCTATTGAGTCACTAAGGCCAGGCTAGGTTCAACGGGAAGGGATATAGACACCACCCCTAAATGGAATGAGTTGTCAAAGAACTTGTGGATGCGTTTTAAAACTGTTACAGGCAAAAAATATATCAGCAAATGGTCGTAAGGCATATAATAAGTTGACTTGCATTATCAGTGCTGTGATTTGAATAAGAAACCAAACATAGCTTTGCAGTATAGACATATGGTATTGGTACCAGAGATTACCTCCCAATTAAATTGTTATTGATCAGATTCTTACTGATGGGACATTAAAGATCAGAAAATAGTTGAGGGAAGAGAAGAAGGAACTCTAAATGTGGACAAATTATAGGACTTATCTGTCAACAAAGTTTTAAAGAATGTTGAGATTTTTCAACATGAAAAAGTTTCTCAGGAATTTGAATAGGGCAGGTAAAGCAGGAGAATCAAGTCCTTAATCCAACGCTGAGTGGGGTAGACAAGTTGCCTTTCAAAGAACCTGCCCCCAGTGTCCTATATAAATTACAATCTGCGATTTAGTGACCATTGTGAAATTAATTTCGTTAATTTGAATTAGCTTTGTGAATTGTGCTCTATTTTAAATGAAATTCTAGGTTTCATAAATGTATAAGAGCTTTAAAAAACCTATCAGGTTTATGGTTGTGCCTTTCAAATTATAATGACAATAACTTACATTGAAAAAGAGATTGAGGAATGAGGATTAAACTGAATACAAGAGAGCTGAGCCATTAAACATTGTTGCCTTCATATGGTCTGTGTAAAACCCATTAAGAATGTGAACAGGCTTCTAGATGGAAAGTAGGAAAAAATTATTTAAAAATTTTATTGAAATATTGTTTATATGCAATATTGGTGAACTCAGTGATTCATCAATTATATACCTTATTAAATGCTCACTCTAAGTGTAGTTATCTGTCACCAAAGATATTACAATATTATGAGCTATATTCCCCATGCTATACTTCCATCCCTATGATTAAATTATGATAATTTGAAATTTGTGCCTCTTTATTCCCTTCACTTATTTTACTTGTTCTCCATCCTCCTCCCAAAGTAACCAACTGTCCATTCTGTGTTTATGAGTCTGTTTTGTTTGTTTTCAGATTCCACATATAAAAGAAGCCATATGGTATTCCTCTTCCTCTGACTTATTTCATTTAGCATAATAGCCTTTAGGTCCATCCATGCTGTAAATGGCAAGATTTCTTTCCTTTTTTATGGCTGAGTGGTAGTCCATTGTGTATATGTACCACATCTTCTTTATCCATTCATCCATTTGATGGACATCTCAGTTGCTTCCATATCTCGGCTATTGTAAATAATGCTGCAATAAATGTATGAGTGCATATATCTTTTCAAATTAATAATTTCATTTATTCAGGTAGATCCTCAGAAGTAGAATTGCTGGGTTGTATGGTATTTCTATTTTTAGTTTTTTGAGAAACCTCTATATTGCTTTCCATAGTGGCTGCATCAATTTGCAATCCTATTAGCAGTGTAGGAGGGTTGCCTTTTCTCCATATCCTTGCCAACACTTGTTATTCCTTGCCTTTTTGGTATTAGCCATTCTGACTGGTGGGAAGTGATTTTGATTTGTAGTTTTGATTTGCATATCCCTGATGATTAGCAATGTTTCATGTGTCAGCCATCTGATTGTCTTCTTTGTAAAAATGTCTACGGAGGTCCTCTGTCCATTGGACAATTTTGTATTTTTTGGCGTTGAGTTGTATGAGTTCTTTAAATATTTTGGATATTATCCTCTTATCAGGTATTTCATTTGCAAATACATTCTGCCCTACAGTAAGGTACCTTTTGTTTTGTCGATTGTTTCCATTGCTGTACAGGTTTTGTTTTTTGGTTTTGTTTCTCTTTCTTGGGGAGACGAATCCAGAAAGAAATTTCTAATGTTGATATTTAGGAGTTTACTGTTCTTTTTTTTTTCTAATAGATTTATGGTTGCAGGTCTTATATTTAAGTCTTAATCCACTTTATTTTTATATATGGTATAAGACAGCGATCCAGTTTCATTCTTCTGCATGTAGCTGTCAAGTTTTTCAACATCATTTATTGATGCCACTGTCTTTTCCTCATTGTATATTGTTACCTCCTTTGTCAGATATTGACCATATAGGTCAATTTTCTATTCTGTTCCACTAGTCTATGTAAAAAAAATATTTTTGGTTAAAAAAAGTATTATGTTTGCTAAAGTCTAACTAGGTTATTCAGTACATGTTTCCTAACTTTTAGCAGACATTCATTTAAACCATGTCAACAGAATAAAAAAATATTTTTAAAAGATCTCCCCTGAAATACATTCTTCAGTCATATAAATTGGAAAGATGATTATGCACTAATATTTAAAATTCTAAGAGAAGCTACATGATTAGAAATTGCATGATAGAGATTTCTTTAGATTAATGAAAGTTCCCTAGAATATATCAGGTTCTTCTTGATGTTCAACTTCAACCATTTTTGAAAGATATTTTTTATGATTAGTTAAAAATCAGTTAACTTTTAAATCCAGTATTCTGCATAATCCCTCTATACTTTTTCTTATAAAAATTACCAAGACTGATTTGCTTTAATAAAAAACACAAAATCATGTTTAAAAAAATTTTTTTAACTTGAGATATTGAAATTAATATGAAAACCTTATAGAAATGTGAATTACTACAGGGCTGAAACCAGGCTAGATATACACTTAAGAAAGAGGACAATCATTGATGTAAAGTGAGGCTGTTGTATGGATCCTTAAAAGTGGCCTTGTGACTTTTGTCCAGGTGTGTAAAGAAAACAACCCTTATGAAAACACTGATCTAACTCGGTGATTTTTCCATATTCAGTTGGTAATATATCCATATGAGAGCAAAACTACTGTCTTGACTCTTTTAAAGTTCCCAAAATGAATAGTTTTGTAAGCACACAAATTTCATAGACTGTGGTTTTACAAGATAGAAATACTTAGTTTCTCAGAATAAAAAGGAAGAGTACAGTTGCTTATGTCTAATTCCTTTGATTGTTAATACAGGTTGTTTGATAATATTTTATAAAAGATCACAATTTAAAATTTATTGTACATAATTCTTTTAGTAATGGCTGTTTTGTTAGGACAATAGCCACCAGAGGGCAGTAAATATGCCTACACATATTAGGGAATAATACCTAAGGTGTTAACGTCTCAAGTATATTTTTTTATTGTGTAGTTTTTGCATGGTTTGTATTTCAAATTGATTTTAAATATTTTATGCTACTCAGTAATTTTAAATGCAAACCTGATTATTATTAAAGTGAGGGTTATGGTCAAAGATGTGATATTGATGATAAAAAGAAGTAGTTTTACTGATCTATCTCTTATGTGCTTGGTATGAGGCTAAACACTTTTCATACATAATAGCTTCTTTTAACAAATATTTAAGGTGGAACCATTATTATAACCATATCATAGAGGAGGAAACCAATTCTTAGTGAGGTTAGTAAAAGCCAAATATCTTTATATTAAAATTTTAACTGTTTCTCTTTCTTTGTGTGGGGGGGTGGGGTGGGAGGGGAGGTTACAGTAGGCATATTATTAGGCTTACTATATGCTTAGAAGCTGTCTGCCAAAAAGATAATGGAAAAATCAAGCTGCCTAATCTTTTCTTAGTTGTTACAGAAAGCAAACTTGGAAAAGTGAGTGCTTTAGTTTTTAAAGGCAATGAATATGATATAATAGCTTATGCAAAGGAAAAAATATATGTACAGATATATTCATGGTAAATTTGGTTCAAGATTATTTTTGGTGATCATTTTTAAAATTTACAATGTTCTAAACAGTTTAATCAGTCTCAGATGATGGCTATTTTACTATGTTATGGGCATAGTTGTATCCCCTAAAAATTCATATATTGAAGTCTTAACCCCTCAGGACCTCAAAATATAACTGTAGTTGGAAATAGTTCTTTAAAGAGGTAGTTAAATTAAAATGAAGTCATCAGAATAGGCTTTCACCCAGTCTGACCATAAGACGAGGAAACCTGGACGCAGGTCCAGAGGAGGACCCTGAGGACACAGGGACGAGATGGCCATCTGGAAGCCCAGGAGAGAGGCCTCAGAAGGAACCAGCCCTGCCAGCACCTGATCTCAGGCTTCCAGCCTCCAGGACGGTGAGACAGTACATTCGGTTGTTCAAGCGGTCCAGTCTGTGGCATCTGGCCATGGCAGCCCGAGAAGGTTGATGCAGTGTGTTTCATAAAGAACGACAGTGGTGTCGGGACCCCATCCCTTTGACATATGTCCTGCTTTTCAGTACTGTCCCACCTTCTAACTACTCATTAGGCACATGTCTCCCAAGAAAACGAATGAGACTGATGGGATTAAAAATAAGAAGAATAAAAAGAGAGGAACTACATGAAAGAATGTTGAGTGCAAGCTGTTTTGGTGGCCATTTCAGTTGAGGTCTCCAGGCAATAGCTGCTGCAGTAGCAAGCGAGGTAACAGGAGCTCCCTCAGCACATTCGCAAGAGGTTTCCTAACTGGTTTTGCCATCACAACTGACTGCTGACCTGCAGCCTATACGACAGTTTGGAGAAAATTATGGGAATTTGAAGAAGCCTTTGGAGAGCTCCACCAGTGTGCTGAATATCAGACACTCTCACCTCAAGACTAGGGACAGGGACTTAGTGAAGCCACTGAGAAAGTTTGATGCATGTTCCTGGAGCTTGTCAGACACACTGACTGACGTGTGACTCATGCTTCAGAAATCTAAAGAGTGAGAAAATCTGACAGGTGAGTTGTTCTGATGGCAGAGCGAGTTTCCTGTGAATCCGGAGCTTGTCAGAGCAAAGGATGCTTTGGTCGGCCCTCTGCACTTGATAAAGGCCTTATACGTGAGACATATGGGGGAGAATTGTTTTATTTTCTCTGTAAGAGGGCAGCCTTTAGATGCAAAAGACCTCAGCCAAAAATAAAAGAAGTACCATCAGATATCTAGGATCTGAGGAAGTATGTGTTCATGGCCAACTGTAGTAGATACCCAATTGCATGGATCAAGGAAAATTCTAATGAGTGACCTCCCAGGAGGGAAGTGGTTACTTTGAAGATCTCCAGGATTAGCGGGCATTGGTGTGGTCGCTACAACAGCCAAATAAGCCGAGTAAGAAATGCCCACCTCTTTTTTGGCTTCTCTTTGTTCCTTCTCACTCCTCGTTCCTGAAGGGTCAGGAGCCACTGTCATTAATAAAAGCTGAGAAAGGAATGAGGAGAAGAAATAAGTTGAACAGTTTCTCTGCTTCATACATGATACAAGCTGCCTGTTTAAATGAAGTTACAATTTACTAGTCATTACACTGAGTTGAACATTCTGATTATAGAACTGATTTGGTGATTTGTGACCATAGTGACAGGAGAGCTTTTATCACCTAGGAGTGACGTGAAGGGCCAGGGACCCACCCTAGCCTTCATTCAGGGTGTGAGGAAATGAGGAAGCCACTGGGTTTGTTTTCTGGTTGCACTCCACCACTCCCCCCTACTCAGTGTAATAGTTACTGCAATCTGTGATACTTACACAAAGATAATCCATAGAAAATCTTAAAGTCAGAACTCTCAGACACACAGTTTATTTAACAAAGTTGTAATGATTTAGAATAGACAACATTCAATCTGAATAATTGGGTCCTCCTATAATATTGAGCTTGTACATTAGTTTAATGCATATTTGAGATAATTTTTATTACCTGGGGCCTTTGGGCTAGGAAAATTTTTTGATTAGACAATATTTCCTTAGGTTTCATTTAGTAATGTGCTTAACAGCATATTGAACTCAAGAGATGAGTTGTTCATTTAAGATTCATTTAAAGGTGTCTGACAGTACAGTAATCTAGCACTTTCTCCCCCTGACTGCTGGCTGTGACTTGGTCCCATGCATCAGGCTGAATGACGCAGGTTTTTGGAGACTGCAATTTGGTTTCTTTGTGTTTCATGGGCATAAATAATAACATTTCATTATCTCTAATCCCCAGAGGGTGTCTATAAATGACTATCTAATTTGAATTGCTTTAAAAAATTAGATTATCACAAATATTTCTGATTTATTCTACCTGTTCACTTACTAGCTGTACCAAATCATAGCTGTTGACTACTCATTCATTTCCTAATCAGTAATATTGAACATTAGCCAAGAAGTGATATTTCATTGTATGGTCAACAATGAATTTTAGAGCTGTAAAGGATTTGAAAAGCAAAAGACAAAGAAATAAAAATAGCAATTTCCTTAGAAAAAACTTGGGTATAACAAGAAAAATTAAAACCTTAAACAATACCCCAAATGTAAGTGCTGTTTCTAAAAATCTACAGTTTATTGGGCCCTTACAGTATGTTAGGCATAAGGCTGCTATCATGATTATTTTTATTTTAGAGGTGATAAAAATGTGGCTGTGGGATTAAATAATTAGTCATATGGGGAGTGAGTATCAGCAGTAGACTCAGTCTAGGATTGCCTAACAACAAAGCTTATTGACAGCTTTGTTGTCACAGACACAGCACCACCGTGCCTCCTAACGCTGTCTATTTAGAATTTCAGACTCTATATGGCTGGCTGGACAGAAGTTAAAAATAATAATACTTGAGCAGAAATTCTGAAAGTTATATAACTTTCCACTTAATACCTGAATTATCATCAAGATTTGTCTACTGTAACAGAGACCCTAAATAACAAAGGCTTAATCTACATTGAATTTTAATTATCTTTTACCTGATACGTAGGGAGATGCTGCCCAGGATCACTTGGTTAACCATGTGGCATCAGACACAAAGCTTCTGTCTTCTCTCTCCTTGTGAGTTGCCTTCATCCACACATCCAAAACAATTCCTCCCACCACGTCTGCACTCAGAGAAGGAGAGGACACGTCCCTTTGATAAAACCTGTAACTGCTGGTACTATGGTTTTTTAATGAGATAAATTCACATCACATAAAAGTCACATTAAAAATTTTCAGAATGTACAATTTGGTGATTTTTAGTATATTCACAGAGCAGCACAACCATTACCACTACCTAATTCCAGAATATTTCTGTCACCCTCAGAAGAAACCCCCTACCTCCCAATTCCCCGCCTCCCCTCTATCCCCTGACAATCACTAATTTACTTTTTTCCCCTATGGATTTGCCTGTTTTGGACATTTCATATAAATGGAATCATACAGTATGTAGCCTTTTGTGACATCCTTTGTTCACTTAACATAATGTTTTCAAGGTTGATATATATTGTATGTATGTCAGTACTTTATTCCTTTTCACTGCAGAATGATATTCTGTTGTATGATGTGCCTGCATTTCATATTTTATTTACCCATTCCTCAGTTGATAAGCATTTGAATTTCTTCTACTTTTTGGCTTTTATGAATAATGTTGCTTTGAACAAACATGGACAAATTTATATGTGGGAATGTTTTCAATTCTCTCAGTTATGCACGTAGGCATGGAATTTCTGGGCTTTACGGTAACTTCATGTTTAACTTTTTGAAGACTTATTACTTTTTTCTCATACATCATTGTCCAAGGCTTTGTCATATGGGTTTTGGAGATATTGAGAAAGTTGGGGAATATGCTCTATATTCTGGCAACTATATGTCCAGCTAAAAATCTATAAATTAATCTAAATATCCATTACTCTTAGATAAGGGAAGAATGGGTGTTTGGGAACAGTCTTTACCCTAATGCATCCCTTTGGCCACGCACACAAAAACAATGCATTCTCTTCTTCCCATGTGCAGAATAATATCACCCCTCCCCAAGAAAGACAATCCAAATTTCTGTACCAGGACCGTCTTCAGCTAAAAGTCTCAGGTATTTGAGAGATGTGCCCCTCCAGGTACATCACCTCTATACTCAATGACACATTTATCTACTTCTCAACATATCCAGTGTACAATGGTGATAGAATAGGAAAACCACACTAGACTACTTGGAAAAGGGAAGAATGGAACATAGCAGAAGTCAATGATCCACATAAATATCTCATACACAGGGAAGGCATAGAAAAGAGGCCTGAACTGGCAGAGTAAATTCCCTGGTGAAGCCATCTCCTGGTTTGCTCTTTGGATGAATCTTTTTTATCCGTTGTTCTCTGTGATCCCAGAGGTTGCTGTCTGGAAGATTCTTCGTTGTTGATTTATCTGCAGAAGTCATGTAGTAAGGGAGCATAATGGTAATTCTCATCTTTGGCGAGAATAAGCCATCTGAAAATAGACTAAGATGGTAAGGCAGTAACTTAAATATGACTTTTAGCTATTCAGCTGGCTTACACTATCTGGCCTTTATGGGAGAAAACTTTTGGGCCACAGACTATCTTCTTCTAAAACTACCTTTTAGTGAAATTTCTTAAGATTATTTCCGTTGGCTTTATCAATTATGCAAGGCTCCAAGTTAGCAGATTCTTAGTCATCTTAGATTTCAAACTCCAGACTGAGAAAATCTATCTAAAAAAAGAGGCTAACTCCTTTCAATTTCAGCATATACACTCAATAATATTAGTCGTAGTCATTAGCCACTCTTGTTCAACTTTGCTAAAGATGCCAAGAAACAAACAATACACACCAATTTTGTGGTTTTCCACATTGTTTCTACAAATGCAGAGATACAAGGAATGCCCCTCCCACGAGCAACTGCAGATCATTTCCTCAAATGCTTTTCTGCGGCAGAATAAGGACATTCATTTCCTTTTTTGCAGTTTCTATGTTGTTGCAACCGACTTATAAATGATTCGATTGTTAGTTATTCTTGATTTTGTTTTAACCAAATTTCACATTTGTTAGAATATTAAGGTAGTGTAACAATAGACCTAAATTTTCACTGGCAAAATTGAGATAAAAATGTATTCTCTTCCCTACATGGTCCGGCCATAACTAGTCAAGGGATGGGCAGTCAAAGATGACATCCTGACAGGAACAGGCTCATTCTCCATCTAGGGCATTGCCCTCTATCTCATAGTCCAAGACGGCCCATCACTTTGTCTGCATTCTACCTAGTGAGATGGTGAAAAGACAGAGGACACAGTTTTGATGTTGTGGCTCAGAAGTTGCACAAATCACTTTTGATCACATCCATTGGCTACTCTCTCCCCTATTTTCTCACCTGTGATATGAGAAATCATAGTAAGAATTACCAGTAGTTAAAAACTGTTTATACTGTTAGTCAAATTGTATATTTTTATTATAATATTTATTTCTGCAACCTCATTTTTCTTATTCAAACTCTGAGCCTGAGTATAGTTGTTGCAAATGTAATACCTTGTGTAATGATACTAATTTCAGGGGCAGCTTTTACAATTAGATGTTGACAATTTATTGTCATTCTTCCTCTTATTCTTTAAACATTCATGCTCTTTTTAAAGACAGATTCTAGGAACATAAAAGAACATTCTACATCTAAATATTTCTTTCAGATTTATCGTGCTTGTAACAAATCTATGGAGAAGGTAAAAGCAACATTCATGACAACAAAATAAACAAAAACCCAGCTTTCACAGAGCTGATTCTAATTCACACATTGATTAATGAAACCCTTATCAGATCGAGACATGTCATTCCAGCTAGGATCTAAATTAACATCTTTAAGTAAGTCTTTTATATTCTATCCACAGAAATTTTTTCACTCAAGGTTCGTCCTTCTTGGCTGGTAACACAATTAACTTACATGCTTTTCCTCTCCTTGCCCATTAGCTTATAAGAACTACTGTTAATGAGAATAGTGGTATCATTGTGAACTTAAGTTTTATATAATTTCATTCTATTTGACTATTTGATACTCAAATAGAATTGATTATTTATAATAGGCAATATTTTGTTTTGAGAATGAATGTACTTAGGCTATCTCATGGTTGCTTTCAATGGTGTGCTCATTTCCTTAAAAATCTAAATATAATTTTTCAACTTATTCTTTTTTTGGTAGAAAAAAAATTGAAATTAGTTGTCAGGTGATCTGGATGAGTACAGGCCTCATGGCACTCTTTCATCAAATTCCAATGATGAATCATACAGAAATTCAACTTTCATTATCATAATACGTTTGGGAAACAGTGTATCTTACCAAACCCTACAGAGTAAAAGGCTCCTCAAAGGTCATCGTAAAATCTACTAAAAAAGGAAACCTATTCTTTTACATTCTGGCTTGGAATATGTGTATTTCTGTGTGACAAGTTAGAATTTGGACCAGCATTCAAATTCCCAGTTGGCTGCCCATGGGCCACAAATTGTTTGCAGTAACATTTTGTTTGGCCAATACTGTATTTTAAAAATAAAACTGAATGGATTGTTGGTCTCTTAAAAATCAAATGTTTTATATAGAAATATAAAATTTCAGCTTTTCTTTAAAAAATAAAGACTAAGGTTTGGCCATGCAGGGGTCCCCATTGCCACATGAGCTGAGCGGTGTCTGCTCTTTTAGCTGTGGTACTCTCTCTGACTTTTTACTAATACTGGTAAATATTATTTACTATTTTTGCATATTCCACATCTGGCAACATGCAGGACCACTGGATGGCATTTCAGTGGTGTTGGAAGGAGGAGAGAATGGAGAGCAAGCAAAGTCAGCAGCTAAGCCTACACCTCACTGAGGTTCCCAGCAATGCCGGGCTCATCGTCCATCCCCTTCTTCTCGGGGGGCCCTCGGGCTTCCATTTCCATCACCCTTTCACCCCAGATGCCTCTTGAGGTGGTGTTTTGTCACAGAGGATAAAGTAGAGCTGTTCCCTCCGTGCTTTTGGATTTCTGCTACTGCTGGAGTCACCTGCAAGGATTGCTGGGTTCTTCCTCATTGAAAGGGACAAATGTGATTTTATTCTTATTTAGCAGAGTAGCTTCAGCACAGAGAAGGGATCAGAAGTAATGGTTGTAATGAGTGCCATGATACGCTGTAAGGGAGTTTTAGAATTATAGCAAGTAGTATGATCTTGGGGAAGCTATTAGATCCAACATTTCTGATTCCGGTTGAAATGTTAATTTCACTTACTGAGTACAAGTCCAAAAATAATGTTCATTATAGTGAAGAATGTGGACATACAGCATTTATATTACAGACATTTGGGTAAATGTAAAGCATCTCTGTAGCATGGATTAGACACCCATATTATAAAAGGCATCTTTGTTACTGCCTTATAGGATTTGGCCCTGTTCTAGACAGACATTTGGAATGATATTCATGTATTCTTGAATGTTTTACTGCCTTATAGGATTTGGCCCAGTGTTAGAAAGACATTTGGAATGATATTCATGTATTCTTGAATGTTTCAGCGACTAATAGAACCAAAGTGACTATATAATCCATCTCCTAAATTTACAGAAAATTGATACAGAGCTTCAGTCTCCTCCACCTATAAAGCAAAGCTGTTGGACTTGATAAATCCTAATTTCCTTAAATTGTAAATACCGTGATTTTTATAATAAATACATGTGATAAATGAGAGCAGGAAAAAATTAAATCTGCCAAAACTAAAACAAGGAACCTGTGGAATATGCAACAGAGTTACAGACCACAGCCCTTCTGATTCTACATCCCAAAGTCTGAAGATCGCTGCATCAGCACCTCCACTGTGGGGCAGAGATCCAGCGCCCAAATCACTTGGCACAAAGCTCCATCCTAGGGTCCTGAAAACCTCAGGAGGACACAGCTTCTGCCCATCACTGCTGTGTCCTGCTCGTTTGGCTCTCTTTATCACTACCTGTTCTCTCACATGCACTTACTCGTGCTGAGTTACATTAGTAAATTATTTCCCTGGACTCCCATTCTGCCAAAGTTATTCTGAGTTTAGTTATCCCCTGTCTTCTAAAGGTTTCTGGGTTTTGTTTGCCTTTTTTTTTTTTTTGCATTTGTAAGCATCTTGCCCAGCCTGAGGAAGTAAACGTGAGACCAAGTGGTCTTCATATGGATCCCCGTGGCACCCTGCTTGTCACCGCTTAGTCTTGAAGTGCTTTTTCTCTCCAAGTCATTTGTCTCTGGCTTTGCTCGCCTATGTTGCAAACAGTGCTTGTTGACCTTGGGGATTAATCTTTGGTCTGTGATGTATTTTTGAAAATGCACTGAGGTTCAGGTACTGTAATTTATGACTGTGGCTCACTTCAGTCAGATCTGAGATATTAGTCCTTCATAAAAATGCCAGCATATGTGTGTTGCAAACTTGTGTGGCTGAACAAAATCATACTCCTTTTAAGCATTTTTTGCTTCTCCTGGATAACTCCTGGATAACTCCTGGATAATAAAGAGCATTTATTTGTCTTTACCACTCATTATTCTTTCTGGGGCAGTAAAAAGCATTTTGCTGTACTTTTGTGGTTGCTATTGTTCCAATATCCTTAAAAAGCCTTGGATTCTAGTTTTGGCTTAGCTATTTATTGATTATCTGCTATTGGACAAATCTCTCTCTTGCTCTCACTCTGGCTCAGCGTCCTCAGCAGTGAGGAAGTATTAATGATCATCCTTTTGCACAGGATTTTTAGGATAATATCAGGTCTATGGGAAAGGAATTTGCAAGTTAGGATGCCTTATACAAATAGGTTAATTGAATCTTGTCACAGGCTAGCAGAGGAACTGGCACAGATAGTAGGCATGAGATAAATATTAAATAAGCCATATATTCAAATTATTATTATTTGTTACTGATTCAGAGAGCTATGCCCTCACATGTAAGGCCCAGTAAGACTCCCTCTGCTTTTTGATGGCAAATCTGGAGTAGGGTTTAAGATTCTTGGACTTGCTCATTTAAAGCATGCTTTTGGACCACCACTTCTCCTCAGTGTATACACACAGCGTGGGTGTGTTTGCCTTTATTAACAATCACTGCTAGTCGTAACACCTCTCAGTGGGAGGAGAAGAACATATTTGAACCACACATTGATTCTGGGAATGAAGAATGTGGAAAAAGTAAAATCATTCCACTCACGTAACTTTCACAGTAATCTAGATGCTTTCTTGAGGGTTAGTTTTAATTGTTGGGAGCATGCAATCTTCTGTCCTTCCCAGTTGCCTAATACCTTCCATCCCAAGCTCCATCTAAAGTTTTGCTAATTCTTAGGGTTGAGGCTCAGTGTGTTCTCTTGGCCTTCTCTGCCTCATGGCCTCCAGTTGACCCTGAGGTGGAACTCATTTATAAGCATAAATCTCTTATACCAAGCATGCATCAGATTGGTGGACTTGATTGGATATAATTTTGGGGGATTGGCTCCTTATAGGAAGGGGTCAGTGGCACAGCTTGCAGGTTTCTGCATTTTTTGCCAGCCCCTATTTTTCCTGTGTTCCATTTATTTTTGTTATTCTTTATCTCAAACGATCTCAAGAACTCTAAATGCTTCCCACAGAGTGATTTCATTCTCCTATGGGAAAACTTGGCAAAAACCAACCCAGAGATACAGGTTAAGAGTAGGGGTTACTGGCTT